TATAAACTATAAACTCTGCAAACTATTCAACAAAGATAAAATATAATTAAACAAAAAATAAAGAACTAACCTTCTCTTCCTCTCTGGAGAATAAGTGAAGAGCTAATGCGGTGCCTTCTCCCGGCCAGCACTCCCCGGCTTTTATAGTCATTTCTGATTATCTCCCCAACCCCCCAATCACTCCATCGCACTGAATGCCACCAAACCAACCATCAATCACCCCACCGCACTGAATGCACGGAATCAGTGCGTAATTTCCAGATCTGGTCGGGGAAACGACAAGTGCCAAGAAAAAAAACAAAAGAATGCGCCACCTATATAGACGCATTCTATGAATCACGCCAGAGGTTTCGGCGCATTCTTTAGAATGCGCGGAACAATTACGCGCATTCTAAAGAATATGCTAAACGATAACGCGTACTCTTTAGAATGCGCGTTATATTTAGGCGTATTCTTTAAATACGCCAAATTTTATGGCGTAGTGGCTACTTCTCAAATTATTTTGAAACCACGCTGCTTCTCCTAATAACGGCATCAACCGTGCTGCTTCCGAAAATTTGGCCAAAGATCTTTATATTTTCTGTTATATAGTCCTTGCTATGTCACTATCCAAGTTGAGTTTTTTCCTCATTTAAATCTGAAGTTCTGCTCTTAAGCTATATGACCAAAACATGAGACTTTCTAGTGTTGAATCCTATATATTCCTAAATATAAATTTTCCAAGATGGAGCTTATATCCAAATAACCGACATTTTTCATGAATTATGTTTATACTGTCCTAAGACAAACAAAGAGTATTTATAAGTTGTGTTCTTTGTCATAACCTCATTTGTCTTGAAGCCTGCCTTTATGTTAATATGCAGAGAGAGATGTTTTTATTAGCATCTAGCAGTAAATTCTTTAACTAGTTTTAATATTACAAGCTAGTCATGCTCAATGCTTAAATAAATCCAACCACTTCATTCTTGACATGAGGTTCTTTCATAATCATATTAGTGGAATAAATGACATGATTTCGCTCATGCATTGTAACTAGTATTACTAAAGCGCCTTAAGTTAGGAAAAAAAAATCACAAGCTAAAGAAGGAACACTGATAGATTCTCCACAATATCAAAAAGGAGGACTTACATGCGTAGCACAAAATTCTTATAAATTTACATATCTAACACCTAAGTCTTAATATTTATTTATATAAAGCTCAAATCTTTTAATCACATCAATAATATTGCTAATATTAACTTATTTAAATTGAAACACATCTTTTCATTCATATGCTAATATTAGACACTAAAGTGATATAAAAGTAAATATAAGGTTTTGTGTTAGATATACAAATATATAAGAATTTTGTGGTATGCATGTCAATCCTCCTGACAAAAAAGTAGAACGCCTTGATCATGCTACACTATAAGCCGAACTACAATAATTCACAAATCTTATAAGCTAGTAATAAATCATAAACGCATCATTGCTAGTGACATAACTAAATTTAGAAATGAGAGTAAAAGTTTGATTGGAAAAAAGACAATTTCAAAGAATAGACCTGATAATAAAAATAAAGTCATCTAACTTTCACTTTGCGAAGTTAACATCAGAGCATAAGCTCAGGACTCATCTCCTATGACAGATTTAACTACCTTAGAATGGTAGCTTGTCGTTCAATGACTCCAAAACGAGTAGGTAAGAAAGAAAGATTGGTGTAAGATTTCTTAATATTTTGCTTCAATATGTAGTTTTTTTAGGAACATTTCCTAAGACGAAAAAAGAAAAAAAAAATTGCATTACAAATTAGATAGAAAACATTAAAACACATCAATAGTTATGATAGATGTTAAAAAATTGCACTCTCAACCATCATACATGAAAAACATACCTCAAAATGTGTTAGAGCTCCACCTTCCATCTCAATAGATAGATCAAGACTTCCCTTGATGTGATAGAAAAGATTTCTCAATAATTCCACTGAAACAGGGCCCCCACTCCTTCCCAAAGAAATGCGTTCACGAATAGTCAAAAGATGTGGGCTACAAAAGAAGGTAGATTACGAGTTTCCCATGAATTTATAGTGATAAAAGGTAAAGACAATGTATAGTAAGATTCAATATATCTATGAGTGAAAATAAGTTGCAGGCAAGATCGTAATTTTCTCCATAATACTCGAAGCATTCGACAATATAGCCATCACATTTGACAAAATGTATTTGAGAAATAAAAGCAGTGAACATAACAGCTTGAACTTTGTATAATACAAGATGCAACACTTTTTTTTTCTTACAAGATGCAACGCTTATTCATAATTTTAAATTTCCTTAGGGTGCAAAACCTATAAATGGTTCGCATGTTGGGAGGGGTTGTGTGGCTTGTTCTAGAATGAGAACCTAATTAAAACATTATTTCTAACAGAAAGTCTATTGTTCTTAAGAGTTTACAGCTTTTTTTTTTTTTTTAATTTTTGACATGATAAAACAATAAAAAGGTTCAAAATGAGGTAACCTTTTTAACCCATTGTTTGCTAATAAGTAGGCTTGTTCAACATTTTCACCCAACCAACTAAAAGGATGGAATTAGAATCTCAATGAAAAGATAAAGGCACAATCCACATATGATGCAACAACTACACTATGTTACCCGAGCTTTTTATTGGTTGATGCTAAGGAAGCATTTCTATCAAACAACAGATTAACGGTTAAAACTAAAATTATCATGTTGGAAATCATGAATGGATTGCATCACTTACAAGGAATCGAAACTACACACAAAAAAAGACTAGCTTCCAAAAATGAAGTTGTACAGGATCAACAAGATGGAGATGATAGAAAGCTTCGTCTAGGAAAGAGAAACTTCCGACTCCTGAGACCAATGTTATCTAAAGAAATAAGCTAATGGAAGATGATGCAAAAGATACCCAAACCAACATATTAGAAAGCTGAATTCCAGTTTAAAAAAGATTCTGTAAGGATTGAACCACATTTCTGCAATAGTTTTTACTTGAATCTGTGGCTGCATACTGTATGGCTTCCATAGTCGACCTACCCATCACAAGAATTAGTCACTAAATGGATAATATTCAAAATGCGATCCGATGCCAGCAATATAACCCAAACAGTCCAAATGGAATAACAACTCAGTACATCTAAGTCATCAAGTAAGAAAGTTGTAGTTTCAAGTAAGCTTATGGGTAAACTTTGTAAATGATTTGAGATAACAAGGATAATACAATACGTGAATAGGGAAAGAAGGTGAACTTCTAAATGAAAGATATAGGTAGAAATATTATCAAAATAATGAGAAATCCCTTCTTTTTTTTTAATCTTACACTTTAGCCATTTAATGAGATCCTTGGCTTAAGACATTTGCAACACTAAAAAATTGTAAAAATCCTAAATTCCTTTACTTAATCTAAAGGGCGATACATATTAGAGAGATTGCTGAAAATGCATAAATAATATTAGCCGCAGTTACCTTAAAACGAGAGTGAGGGTTTCCAAGCCTTTGTAGCAATCTCCTCATCCTATCTAGATCAAACCCATCGTCAGAATCCGTTCCAGCGTCTTTAGGCACACCAATCCTCTCGTAATTTTTGAGTTGCTCCAAATAATCCAAAAAGTCGTGAAGCTTGGGATCCTCAGTAAGTGTTGAATTCAATCGATGTTGTGAAAAACTCAAAAATGGTAACAACTTTCCGCTTCCATTTCTGATATTACAAAACGAGGTAAGGAACCGTCTGTAACCAAGCATCGTCTTCCTTGATTGCTGCCGGAGACAGTAAAGGCGGGTAGGAATTTGGGAATTGTAATGGTCGGCTAAGGATCCCGACCGGAGAGATCCAAACGATGCAGGTATTGGAACACTGGGTACTCGAATCATCAATTTATGGTCCGGGAAAACACGACCTTGGTCCGGTAGTTCTACAATGGAGATGGATTGGTGACAGGAGATATAGCGACAGCTGAGGAGTCAAAAAAGTGCGGGAGCATTAAAGAGGAAACCGCGAAGGAAGAAGAAGCTGGCGGTGTGCGTTCTGGCACTCAGCCACCGGAAAGGTGACGGTGATTTTTTGTTTCAATGACCAAGGTAGAGATGATGCCCAAAGCCGAAGAAAGAAGAAGGATGGGATGGGAAAAAATTGGGCAATTTTTTAAACAAGTATCATT